ACGACCTCGGTTCGTTACCTACCTCTCTCTCTCTCTCTCTCTCTCTCTCTCTCTCTTCCCCTCCCCTAGGAAGCCAACACAGACAAGCTGACTGCCTTCATTAACACCTTAAACGGCAAGGATGGGACTGGTTCCCACCTGGTGACTGTGCCCCCTGGCCCTAGCCTTGCCGATGCCCTCATTAGTTCCCCCATTTTGGCTGGGGAGGGCGGTGCCATGCTTGGCCTTGGCGCTAGCGACTTTGAGTTTGGAGTGGATCCCAGCGCGGACCCAGAACTGGCTCTGGTAAGAGATGATGGAACCAAGAATTGCTTTGAAGGAGCCAAACTCTTTGTGAACGTGCTGTTGCTTTGAGTTTACCCCATTTTCTGCTCCACAGGCGCTGCGTGTGTCCATGGAGGAGCAGAGGCAGCGGCAGGAGGAAGAGGCCAGGAGAGCTGCAGCTGCTTCCGCTGCTGAGGCAGGAATTACAGCCACTGGTGGGGATGGTAAGAAACCAGGCCGGGGATATAATCCCTCTTCAGTTGGAGGGGCCGGGGTGAGCAGAGTAAAGCAGCGAGTTCGATGCAGGGGGGAGAGGGAGTCTGCTGATGCAGCCAGATCATTTTGTACTGAGATCGTGTCTAGCCTCCAGTGCTAAGCAGGGACACCTATGCGCTGCAGGGGATTCATTAGGGAGAGGTACACTTCCTTTCAACATGGTAGTTCCTTATATCCCCCCCCGTGTGGTGTTCCCCTTCACCTGAGATGTAAAAGGAGGCCCTGATCACTTGCACTGGCTAGAGATCCCATGGCACTTTCCATGAGAATACTGTTAGCCCCAGTATCTCAGCCCAATCCCTACTTGGGTATCTACAGTCTGCCTTCCCTAAAACTGCCCCTGCACTTACAGCTGCATGCAGTATTTTTTCCTGTCCTGAACTGTTGTGCATTGTTGCTGTGCGCTTTGTGCAGCTGTCTCATCCCCCACCAAGAAGTGGCTGCCCTTCAGTGATGGGGAGGAATTCTTCTCTGAATACAGAATATGTTGGGGAATTGCTCTAGGAACGTGTACTGTGTTTATCCCTGTGCTAGATTCGGACGATGCCTTATTGAAGATGACGATCACCCAGCAGGAGTTTGGTAGAGCTGGCCTGCCCGACCTTAGCAGCATGACAGAAGAGGAGCAGATTGCTTATGCCATGCAGATGTCTCTGCAAGGGCCAGGTGAGTGGCTAGAATTTAGCACAGCTGTCTAATCCCCGAACCCAAATCCTGTGCTGATTGAGCTGTCCCAGTGATTTCAGAGACAGCAGCTGGGTCTCGACACCTGTGAACGTCTGACAGAGGTTGGGCACCCAAAAATTGAGATGCACAAAATGAGTGAGTGCTTGTCTGAGTCGGTCTGAATTCCGTGAATATCCTACCTGTCTGGGGGCAAGGGGTGTCAGAACCTTCACGTCAGGCCTTCAAGCCTGAATCATCTTTCTCAACTCTCACTATTCTGCCTTGAGGCTTCCTGCTGCATCCATCAGTATTATCCCAGGCACCTCTTGATTGATGTGGTGTCTGTAGCAGGGAGCAGCAGATCAGTGGGGAGGGAATGATCTGCCATATGCGGCTATGCATAGGCACAGCTGGGTAAGGCAAGGATGGGATCAAGCGCTGACAGACTCCTGACCGGAAGGCCTGCAATTGTGAATGTCTGGTTTGTGACACTCCTGGCCCACTAACTGCCACAGGCAAGTCGCCTTCAGCATCTTTATATACACACACCCTGCTGACAACCCAGCATAAATACTATTGCAGTAAAGATGGTGGTGAATACTCAGTAGCCAAGACATTTCTTTCCTCTCTTCAGAGTTCGCCCAAGCTGAATCAGGAGAAGTTGATAGCACTGCAGCCATGGACACATCAGAACCTACCAAGGTGATGGTCTCCCCAGCCACCCCTTTCCCAGTCTTTCACATCCACTCTGCGTAGAGTCCAAACTCCCCCTCTCCTTAGACTTGGTTAACATAACAGTTCAGTTCAAGCCTTGTCAGTAGGATTGGCTGCTGCTGGGATTCCTCCCTGAGGACTGCTCAGCTCGCACCCTAGGTCCCCCTTTCCCCACAGAGCCACTCCCATCTCCCTTATCAAAGAGCTGCCAGGCTCAATGAGTTCCTGGAATCCACGTAAACCTTCCCTAGCATGCTCAGCACCTGCTAACAGGGTGCAGTGTTTCAAGTAAGCAGTACCAGCCTGTTAGATCCCAGTATATCTTCTCGATGGGGAGTGGGGAGTGACTCTCTCTTCATGGATGTGCAGGAGGAAGATGATTACGACGTGATGCAGGATCCAGAGTTCCTACAGAGCGTGCTTGAAAACCTGCCTGGCGTCGACCCCAACAACGAGGCCATCCGCAACGCCATGGGTTCCTTGGCCTCGCAGGCCTCCAAGGAGAACAAGGACAAAAAGGAAGAGGAGAAGAAGTGATGGCACTGGGGTACCGGCCTCCCTGCCACTGACAAGCGATTGGGATAATCTCAGCCCTGCATGTTCCGGTCCATGTAACCTAATAACTTCAGTTTACTTAATCACGGTTCTCCAGGTAGCTGCGGAGCGATCACAGGGCGAGGGTAGGAAGTTTTTTTTTCTTGATGTAATAGTTAATAAAAACGTTAAATTTTTTCCATCTCCCTTCTAAAGTAACTATAGAACATGCTGATGGTTTTTTTTAGAGGCGCATAGGAATTGGCAGGGGTGCACCTTGCCCAGTCTCCTGACTCCAGGCTGGAACCAGCTGCTTCAGAGCAAGGTGCAAGAATCCCTGCAGTGATGGGGTGACCCACCTCCAGGGAAATCTGCCCCCTTAGATCCATGAGGTTAGGGGAGAGGGCTTCACTTAAACCAGATTAGTTGGGTCCAAGTGAATTCCTTGCATCTCTTAGGCCTGGTTTAGAGAGAGCTTTTGTACTGATACAAGTGTCAGTTAGGGGAACGCTTCTCTTTTTACTGATATACCAGGACAGCCCCTTGTCTGGACTTGATTATACTGGGATAGAGGAGCCTTATACTGGTTTAGTGCATCCCCTTCCTGTGTGGGAATAGCTGTATTTGTATGAAGCACCCTTTTGTATGGAGATATAACTGTAGCCAGGGTCATGGTGGGGGTGTTGTGCTGCTTTAACTACACCAGTGCAACTTGTGTGTAGACAGGGCTTCTGCCATGGAAAGCTGCGTTGCATAGTCTGCAGCCCCTCTAGCGTGCAGGTCCCCTAACTTAGAGCAGGAGGCCCCGGTATCCTGAGCTGCCTTAAACTGAACTGAATCCAAATCCAACCTTCCAAGTAACATCCCCGGCTTGCTGATCTTAAATATATTCCCTTCTCAGCTTTGTGGTACATAGGGACCTTTGTGGTAAAGGAAATAAACCCCCAAGAGCCTTCCCCACTATGCCCAGATCCTGCAACACTTAATCAGTTGTGTAACTTTACTCACAGGAGTAACCCCATTGAAGCAAACAGGATTATCTGCCTATGGAAAAGTTATGCATCAATCTGATATCTTGGTGCTCTAAATCTAGCAAAGGCTTAACAAGAGCCAGTGGTGGGAAGTGGAAGTTGGCAAGGCTCAGACGAGAGAGAGGGCGCAAATTGTTATCAGTGAGAGAAACTGACCAACAGAACGGAATCACAAGGATGGAGTAAATTCTCAGAGTCCTTCAATCAAGACTGGGATGTCTTTCTTGAGTAGGTACTCCAGCTCAGCTCAAGTCATTGGGCTTCATGTAGGAATCGCTGGATGAAATTTTCTGCCCTGTGTTACGCAGGAGCTCAGACTAAATGACCAGAATGCTGCTGTACATACGTAAGAGTTTGCTTGCAGGAGTGATGCTAGTGTGCTTCTCCTGGAGCCGTTCTCATGTGTGCATTCGGGAAGGGCCAGAAGGAGAGTTAAATTTTAACTTTAATTGCCTCTTTATTAAAAGCCATCATCCTTCTAGCAGGAGGCAGTTCCCTAGCTTTCAGCACAGAAGCCATTTGGTAAAGGCCCAGAAGTACCTCAGCACGTCCTATTTGCTAAGAACCCTACAAGCCTTCTCGTGAATCCCCTCCCATGGAATAGCAAAGGATCCTGCAGGGTGGGAGTTAGGTATGTTAACAGAGCTCAGAAGGAAGCCTAAGGCTGCACCAGCAGATGGCCCTGCAGGTCAGGATGAGAACTGTGTTGGAAATTCCCTGTTTGGACTTTATTCAGCCCTGTGAACTTGCCCACCAAAAATGTCTTCCAGCTGAGCCGTACCAGGTAGGTGCTCATTGTTACATACAGGCCTAAACAGCTTGGACTGTCTCTCCAGTTGTGATGTATCGGGGCTTTAAACCCATCCCACTAGCCCCGAAGTGCAAATGGATGGCTGCACTTTCAAGTTCTCAGCAGTTCCAAGAGGCAGTCTGGCACCATCTTGTTTCTATGGCCTTATCTGAGCTCTGCTTTCAGACCAGGCAGCCTCTGGGAAACAGTGTAGAATACATGGGGACTCCCTCGCTGCGTCTGTGGAGCAGTGAGGACACCGGTGCCGTGGCCTTTCGCGTTGCCCTGGCCTGTAGTCTTTAAAGGGCTGTAGGGCCCCGTGTACTTTCTCCTCAACCCACCCATCCAAAATCCATGCGCTACAACAGAAACCCCATTACCGCAGCTGCTGAGAACATACCCAAGTGATGATTTAAAAGCCAAAGGCTCTGCTCAGGAACCCTTCGCTCCTGCGCAGCAGAGTCCTTGCTAGGAAGTATCAGCACCAGAAATTATCCACACGGAGACAAAGGCTGTTTTGTGGTGCTCTTTATTGATCACAGTGTCAGTCATTAATATATCTTCCTCGTATCCCCACCGAGGGCTTGCTGTAGTACAGAAGATGCTAAGGAAGCACCGAACCCATGTGAATGACAACGTAATGAAGAATCTCTGCAGACTGGCTTTTGCTTCTGAGTTGATTAGTTCGATACATGTTGATGCTACGGGTAACTCGGCAACTTGTCACATCTCTGTATTTTATTGCTACTGATTATCTCGGGCAAAGCAGTGATACAGAATCCCACGCCCATTAGTTGTTGGTTCTCCCCCGAAATAGAGAACCAAAGGCTAGAAACTCTTAGACGTGTGCGTGGCCATCCCAGATGGGTGCAGTTGGAATTAATACAGTAAGTCGGGACAGTTGGATTTGCAGTCTGATGTTCCCTGCGTGAGCTCTGGGCTTGCTAAGCAGCCATGCTTATGTGATGCCTGGGGGAAGCTGCGTGGACACAAAATCAAGAGTGTTAGTAACAATAGCCCTCCTCTGCCCTGATGGGCGATAAATGACTGATCAGCTCTAGCTACCTCTGCTCTTAGATACGCCTGAATAGCCAGTGGGCACGTCCCAGATTGTTCTGCCACTAAAGTGTGTGTGTCACTCATAATGTGATAGGCTGGTTTCATGTAGACGCTACTGTCACTGGGGTTTTGGTGTTTTCAGAGAGATTAGCAAAGAAACAAGAAATGGCACACAGCCGGTGCACGGTCGCCCCCCTACTGCTCTGACCAGCCTCGTTCTAGTGTCCCAAGGGTTCCACCACCTCTTTCATGTATCCTAATAAGTGATTGAGCTGGGAATCCTCTCTTAACCCTGAGTTGCTGAGTAGGACTGTCCAGCGAGGCAGGCCACTGCATTAAATGGGGCAGCTCTCAGCCGGACCAAACAATAATAGCCTTTGGCTAATTCCAGCAGAGCTCGCGTTGGTTGCCATTCTTTCGCTGCTGTCAAATCCGCTACTGTAGAAGTGTGTGTACAACACAGTAATGAGAACTCGTTATGCCTAGACCTAGTTCTGCATCCCTAATTTTGCATCTCTGTCCAGGATCCCCCTTACAAGATATTTCAATGTAACTAGGGGCCCAGGACTTGGTCAGGCAAATGCTGCAACTCACTGTGATGCGACTCCTATATTAACTTTTTGTGTCTAGCTGGCCAAACAGCTCTGGCAACTCCCCTTTTAGGGAAGATGGTGTCTGTGGCTAGCAGGGCCAGGATCAGTCTTCGCAAACCTGCGTGAGCAGCCTCTGTAGCCCTGTCTTGCAAAACTGGGTCTATGTCATGGCTGCAGACTTGGCTTTCCCATCCGCCCCAAGCTGGTTAACATGCACAGCGGTTTCCCTGGTGCCCGTTGAGCCTGAGATCGTGCAACTTACGTGCAAAGGCTGTGATCAAATACATGGGTTTGTTGCTGCACAGCAGGGTGGTCAGGCTGCCCAGGGAGCCGGTCCCCATGCTCTGAACATCCGAGGTAATCCCCAGTGTGGCGTTTCTCTGCAGTGAGATCACAGACAGTTGAGTGGGAGGCTTTGCTACATCAGCCAAAGAATCTCGCCTTGGACGGGTGTGATAGGGGATTTGGAGGGCTGGGCAGTCTAGTGGGTAGACTGGCGGGGTGGTAGAGGTACCTAGTTCCTGACCCTTAGCTTGGAATCTTCTGGCCTCCAGCTGCATCTGGGTGATAGCCCTTTGAGGGGGGCAGTGCTAGAGGGACCCGGGCCCTCCCTCTCCATCAGGTCCCAGCCCAGCGCCCTGTGGGAAGCAACACCAGCAAGATCCTCCCTGCAGAGCATCTAAGTCTGCTGCCCCGGGCCACTTCCTACGGAGGTCCCTTCAGTTTGGGGGCATGGCCACTATTCCAACACTCAGTTGCTTAATAAAAGTCCGGACAAGTGGGATCTGCTGGTTCTTATGAGGGGAAGGCTCTGCCTGGGGGCCGTATCCATGCCGTGGTCCCCTCTCAGGCTCAACCTTCTGCCCGGCTTCCCGGAGAAGGATTCATCTTTCCTGTAGCCCGTGTCCCCCTTCTGCGCTCCTTTAACCTGCACTGGAGCATGCTCAGCAGGCCTGTAGGGGTGCGGCTACCTGGGCCTAGTGTGGCCACCGTTCAGCCCCTTCCGGCCCAGCGGGGTCTTTTTCTAGCCTGTGCCGCAGGGCTGACACGTCTAAGCCTCAGCACCTGGCTGTCTCGTGGCCAATCTGGCATCACCCCTGGTTCTGGCAGGCAGTGGCTCCAGCTCTGCCGCCTCCCGCCACATGTAAGTGGAATTGCAATGGACCCCTGGGCCCGAGAGCAGAGCTACCCAGGTTTGGGCCACTGGGCTCCTTTCCCTGAACCAAGGGGCCCATGTGCTCTCGTTCCTACTGGCGGGGAGGGCTCCAGATCCCGGACTCCAGCCCTGTCCTGCTTGGCTGGCTAGAGAGCAGGATCTGGCCGACCGTTAGCATTAGAACAGTGGAAAGGGTGGGTGGGAGATACAACCTGAAGCTTCAGA